TTGTCCCTCAAAGCAGAGCAGGTTTTTGCTTGCTGGCAGCTAATGGCATATCCACCACAACCTTGTTGGTCCTGATGCCCCAGGTAGTAAGGAAAGTGCTTTTGGCCGGTATGCTACCTTGCTGTATTCGTACCTCTTGAAAATTTCATGATACCCAGTTAAAAAAAAAAAAAGAAAAAAAAAAAAGAAAATATTAAAAAGAAATCCATAAACACAATTTGAAGAAGAAATAAAAGTACAGCTCCGTTGTTTGGTTTTGGTCAGGTTTTTAAATCCATCCTTAGGATGGTATTGTATTGAATCCATGCTTAGTACCTGGAGTTCTGTTGTACTAAGCGGCGGTCTCCCTTCCAGAGAATTTGTTGCAAGTATCAGGACATGACTGAGCGAAGCAAAAAGTGATTGTGTTAAAAGAAGAATAACACACTAATTTTCAATATAAAACACACTATGGAAGAAGCACGCTTTATAAGACTAAGATGATATTAATTTTTTAAAAAGCAGATGTGTAGCTAATATCTGTAGTATTTTTCTTGAGCAGAGAACGGATAATTCTGGGCAATCTGAAAACTAAACAATTATCAAGGTCATCCCAAGTTTAGAGATGTCAGGAGAAAACTATACTTCCTGGACTCTTCTTAACTCTTACTCTCCTATGCCTGGGAAGCAGCATGTAACTAAATCCATCTCCCTTTTCTTCTTTCTCTTGCTCTCTGGAATTGAACAGATCCTTTTTCTGCTACTGTTGATAGTGTTGATGATGCCATTCCAAACCTAAATCCTTTCCTTACAAAAGCTAACGATGCTGCTCATCTGTCTGTGTCTTCTGATGTATCTACTTTCACCAGTAGGACACCCACACATGAAATGTTTGTTGGTAAAGTACCATTTTAAACTAATTTCCTATTTCCTAAAGATTTTAACATTATTTCCGTTTATAAAGTATATTTGTGGGGCCTTTCAGAAACTAGAAGCTGGTCATTTGGGGCTCACTTTTGTGCTATGTTAGAACTTGATTTAGTAATTGTGCCTTGAAAATCATGTTAAAATCCTGGCTTGGCTACCTAGATTGGATTCTACCTGATGTAAAGGAACTTAGTTGTAGCTAAAGCAGCTGTGTGAGTGCGGTTTTACACAAAGTCTCTTATGCTTAGAAATTTGAAGGTAAGACACTACATATGTATGAAAAGAAAATGCTGCTACTTTGTTCCTCAGGTTGAGATGTTGATTATAAACATAGGAGCTTAACCTAATTTTTTGATAGTGAGTAGTTTTCCCTCCAATTGTGTTGGCGTTAACAAAACAAAGCCATGCACATTCTGATGCACGGTCTACTCAAACTGTCTACCTACTAGAGAATAAACTAATGAGTCACCTTTTTAAAACTGTTGACATCTTACTTTGGAGGTGATTCAGCATGGCTGTCATATTAGAAATCCTTCTAACGTTTCTGTCGGTGCAACTACATAGTAATTTGATTACCCTTTAGCATGAAGAACTAAGTTAGCTTTCATAGACTAAAATTCAATTAATTACATGTCACTTCTGTTCTTAGGCAAAGCTGGGTTGAAAGACAATCGTGCTGTACCACCAGGGCTTTCTCTTTGCAGATTGAACCCCACTAGAATTGATCACAGAAGAATCCAGACTCTTAGATATTCGATATCTTTGATATTTTTAACAGAGATGGGACAAAAGGAGCTCTTTAGAGATACTCATACCATCTACACTTTGTCACCTTAGCCTAGTTTCCTAGCTTGTCTTTGGTAAGAGAAAGCAAGCAAGATCTTCAAGCACAACTCCTCTTGCTGTGAACTTCTCTCCACAATTCCCAGGGAGGATTAATTGCCTGAGGCAGTGGTATACAAACACTTGAGGCTGGTACTACTGTGTAATAATATGGCCTATGCTTCTAATTGGTCTTTCCCATGCTTCCAGTAAAATTTGTATGGCTGCAAGTGAATGTAGAGTGATCATTTGAAATACAGCTTTTTTTTTTTTTTTTAGTAAGGTTATTACTCAGTCAGATCGATTTCCTCTGTAATTTGTCCTGCAGTCATACAAAAAGTTGCTGCGGTGCAGGGCTGTGAGCAAGGAGCCTGGTGGGTTTTTGTGACGCTCGCTGTCATGTGTAGTATTCATTAGGCTACAGCCCTGAGGTCGCTGGACGTGGATGGCATTGATATAGTGCATCCTCTTCCAACATCTCGCTCTCTAAAGACTTCTCTAGAACCAAAGTGTGATCTCCTGACAGGTTGATATGTGAAATGTAAATGCAGTTTTAGCTGAAGCACAAACTAGGTGCTATGATAATGTGAATGTGGGTTTAAAATAACTCTCTCTGGTTCTTTAGATCATTACAATCCATTTACTGAACCAAATCCCTTTGTGGCAACCAAATATGAATCCACTATTGGGCTGTATCCTTATACTTCAGGTATAAGAAAAATGCCTTGAGGCTTTTACGCTCAGTTCATCCAAGGGTGTAAAACATGGCATTTGCTTGAAAGAAAAAAAAAAAAAGAAAAGGAAAAGTGTTTATCCTAGTATAGCTGTAAATTTTAATCTGTGCTTTCCCCTTTTGTGTTGTAGATAATGTAAACTTGTTTCTTACTGTGTGTCTGATGTGTATTGATTTCATTCCATTGGTTCTATGTTATTAGAGTATATGTGGATTTATAGAGTGACCTGAAATTAAATTTCTGAATAGCAGATAAACAGTGTATCTTGGTTCTCTTTCTGTAACTCTCCTTCTTCTCCTTTCCTGGCTTTCTCTCTTGTGTGATACGCCTTATCAGATTCTTTTTGTGGTCCTCAAGCTTACCCTAATGCTTCTCATTTCCGCAATGAGCCTTCTTCTGTAGCTGGTCTATTTGGAGGTAGGTAATGGGATGCAGCCTTACCACAAACACAGAAATTGGAATGTGTTGTGTGCCTAGAATGAGTAGGTATGTTAGTGGCTACAGAAATGCATTATTACAGTGGCTCTGACTTTTATTCATGTGCTTGTGCTAGATGTGTTGTCACAAACGATATATACTTTTTCAATTTGTGCTCAACTAAGGCTTATTTAGTCTAAACATGAAATGAGTATCTCCCCATTTCAGGATCTCTTGTAGTTTACATGTTGCTACATATCACACAGAAGACTTGCATGTTGTAAGTGTCTTCTCATCTTACTCTACCTCATTGCTTGTAAAATAAAGGGATTGGGATGTTCTTGCTGCTTATGGCTTTTGTGTTGATGTATCACTCTTAAACAGTGCGCTAAACTGGTACAAAGCTTTGTAACAGAACATGAAGAAGAGGTACCCACTGCATTAAATCACTGGCTGGTCATGTGTGCAGCTGTGTAATGTCTGTGTAGTAACCCAGTACTGGTGCTGGCTCTGGAATACTATCCTGACAGGGGCTAGATGGGACCGTGACAGGTGATAATTTATCTAAACCACGTCAAACAGGGAGCGTTGACATTGTTGCTATTCAAGGCTTAGGAATACCTTCAATAAATGTTTTGTGGAAGAGTTAGTTCTTAAAAGCACCATAAAGTCACGCTTTGGTGTATTGTCTTTGAATAGAAGTTAACGAGAATCATGTAACGAGAGGTTAAACACTACGTATGACTCTTCCTGTTGTTCCATATCCAAAAAGCAGGATGATTAGTTTCTGCCAAGTCTTGTTGGTTTATTCTTGAAGGAACTCCATTAAAAGTACTGACCTTTGCACCTTTCAAAACATCCATGTTAGATAAAATGCCCTGGGCTGGTGGTTGATACCAGGAGTAGGATTTGATCTTTTTCAGAGGCTGACTCAGAGTTCGTTGGTTTGTTCCTGGCTCGTCTCATCTCATTAGCTTCATAAAGCTTGAAACTTCCTCAAATGTGAGAGCAGGAAACTCGGCTTGTTTCAGTTAAGGCCGTTTTCTAAAGAAAAATATGAACATTTGTAAGTCAGGTTTTCTATTGGCACAGGCACGGTTTTAAGAGTTGCAGGACATCCCATCAAAGCAATTCCTATCTGCACTTCAGAGTCTCTGAAATGGCTTGTTACAACTTGATGGTATACTTGTCATAAAGATACTCATTTTCTTTTG